TTTTTGTACTGGGGATCAAACTCAGGACCTTGCATTTGCCAGGCAGGCATTATGCCACTAAGCAATCTCTCTGGCCCAGGTATTCTTTACCTCTTAAAGCTCATTTTCTAGTAACCAAAATCCTAATGAGAACACAAAAAACTTACTTAGTAAAATACAGAACCTTTAAATCTAGTTATGTAAGTTTAAGCAAGAACATCTGAATATTTTAGAAAATCGTATCGTTTTAGACATAGAAAACTTAACCTTTCAGTTACAGCCAAAAACAAGTTCTTTAAATTACTGATCATAAGAGTCAATACTTTTTTGAGGTATATATGTTGTCTTTGACCAAGAAAATCCCTTAAGTTATGCCACAAAGACAATAAGAAACACATTTTTATGTCCTTAATAGATTTTTTTACACTATCTTGGTTACCTCACAAGTTACATTGAAATATGTTACCAACTTTAAAAACATCCTTATTCTCATTTTGTTAACTCACTGTTAACCCCGTGAACAAAGGTATTTGGGCTATGTCATGAGTTTCTGTTTACCTGTATACCAACTAAAGTAGAACATATACCTGAAAATGGACACACACAAACTGTGCTGCAGCCCAATCATATATAACCCTTATGTTGTCATACCTTAAGGTGTTCATTTATAAGTCCTATGTAGGGCTGGGGAGATGGCTCAGTACAATAAATGTTTGCCTGGCAAGCAAAAGGGTCTGAGTTCAATCCCCAGTTCTGCCAAAAAAAAAAAAAAAAGAAAAGAAAGAAAAAGAGTATAAGTCCTATGTAAGCCGTGAAACTATGTCTAAATCTGTTAATGTTTCAAATAAGTTTGGCTACCCTGAAAACATATATAAATGGTCTTTCCATGAAAATCTCAAAAACTAAGTAAAAGAAAAATAGTGTCGAGCTTAGGAACCAATGTTTTTAAATGAAGCAGCCATATGTGCTTTAACTGGTGTTTTAGTTACTTTTTACTCATCGTCGCTGGGACAAATACCTGACGCTCAAAATGAAGGAAGAAAAGGTTTCTTTAGCTCACAGTGTGTGGAGGTTTCAGTTCGTACTCCAGTGCAAACAAGAGCAGTTCATGGAGGCAGAAAACAGTGAAGAGCAGAGGAGGAGCAACAGCCGCAGCATCCATCAAGCCTCTGTCTTCCTTCTGCACTGACTGTGAAGGTCATCGGTCCACTGCAAAGATCCGAGCTCCTCCAGAGTGGCGCGGCTGCGAAGATCAAGCTCCTCTGAAGACTGGGACCTCTCCAAGGAAGCAGAGCAGGGTGGCCAGCTGGAGCCTTCCTCAACTCCTTCATATACACTTTGTGCTGAGCCCGGAACTGGGCGGAGCAGATCAGCCAAGTTGACACAAGGTATCAATCACTACAACTGGTTATTAACATACATTAAATAGACAAATATACACTAGACAATTACATTTAAATTTGAGTCTGCTCTCAGATGTGTTTGGCCAAGTTGTACTATAATACCCCTTTTACAATTTTCTTTTTTTTTTCTTTTTTTTTTTTAATTATTTATTT